AGTTTGTTCCGATTATATAAATGGTAAAGTAAAAAGTGAAGCAACATGAACATAATCCTTCAACATTCAACTTTAAAATAATGAATAAATATCATTATGTTGGGTTTAATATTCAAATTTATGACTTTTGGTCTATCAATATTCAACAAATAGAAACGAGTGATGCAGTGATTAGTAATTTAATTTATAAAATTTAGTCGAACTTCACAGTATTTATCATCATATACAAGTCATTACAATAAGGAATATGCATAGCTCGCAATTTACATTCGACGGTTCATGTTAGCTAACTATCTTATGATTTAGAGTTAAAGTAGATTATTTTTTTTAAATGTAGATTTCCGAATGGGTGACCGCTCATGTTAGCTAACTATCTTAGAGTTAAAAGTAAATTGTTTTTTTTTTTAAATATAGATTTCCAAATGGGTATATAAAATGTCTTAGAGTTATATTTGCTCATATATCTATGATTTTCGTCTAATCTAGATGCAGAGTTTTGGTCGCACTCCAATAATTAGAACTAAATTGAAACGTGTAGGATCATAAATACTTAAAAATAAATAAGTTGGATATGATGAATAAACTAAAAAAGAAAAAAATTATATTTTAAATTAAGATTTAATATATTTTTCTTGATAAACTTTTTTTTAGTTAAAATATTACGTAGTGGAGAATCGAACCACAATAATATTTGAGATAATAGTAGTCTTATTCACTCGTTCAATTTATATTTTATAGTCATAAAATTTTAGTATAACTACAATCCATAATACATCATACAGTAAAGTAAAATTTGGTGGGGGTGAACAAAAATATTTGGAAGCAACATGATGCCGATCATTTGATTTGATGAACGGTCTGATCTACATCGATTTTTTAGTTGACTTAGTTGCAAAACTATTAACGTATTAAAAAAAAAAAAGTTAGTTCTTCTCCATTACTTATTTTCTTCTCTAATCAATTTATCAAGTGGCCAGTATTTATGGAGTCCAAAATTAACGCGGATCGACCGGCGTAGTACATCCCTGTATTTTCGTATTGAACTAGCAGCCCTGCCACAAACCTAGCAACACAACAAAACATGGCACCATACGATTATCCCTTTTTTTCCTTTGTCGTCCAGTTGGTGGACCAAGCAATTGACAAATTATTGAGTCACGTGCCTTGTCTACGTTGTCCTCTTACATCGGGATCATTTCGAACGTGTTGAAGAGTCATTTTGACATTATTAAAATTACTTTTGTCGTTCTCAAAATCACTAGTTTTACTATTACTCCCAAAAATCCTATTATATTACTATCTCGTTCTTTACTAAAGAAAATTATTATTCAAATACTTCTCTTTTCTCCTCCGTTCAATTTTTGTTGTAAACTACATACTCGTGTTAGCAATCGGTGATCTGTTTAGTAACGTTCTTATTTTTTATTTCGTATTTATAATTTTATTAAGAAATTTAAATATTTTGACGACTATAAATTTTTATTATTTTTCATTTATTTAGAAGTATATGAATTTTTGGAAACAACACAAATATATTTTAAGTTGTTCCAAAATATAAAGAAAAGTATTGTTTTAAAATTATTATTAAATTTGTATGGCGTGGTCTCCCATATTTTAAGTTTTAATTTTGTCATTTTTATTTTAAAATGTATAATCATGCCTATATATAACCCTATCAAATAATGATGTAATTGTCGTATAATAAATCAAAAAGTTATGAGTTCGAGTCCATACTGTACATACATAAACCATGCAATGGAGTCTTGAGAAGATGGATGTGGATGAACTAATTAAGGAGCCTCTTGTGTGAATTTTAGATTTCAATAGAATGAGCATTTATATTTTTGTGTTCGTTTGACGGGAGTGTTGGATGACTATACATTTTTAGATGCCCATACAGGAACATCTAAGCCATTTTTTATGCCTAACATGGGGTTTTAAGACTTTATGTTTTTTTTTTATTTCAAGATTTTTCAATTGATGACGTATTTCTCGACAAACTTGTCATTCATTTTTATTCTGTATATATGTTTTTTTAGTACTATTATATATATATATGTGTGTGTTATTTCGTCAATCTTATTTGTTAATCACTTTTATTTTATTTTAAAAATAAATTTATGCATTGATTCGTTAATAAATGACTAAACACAGTTATGCTTACATACTTTATTTAGATATAAAATCAACTTTAGTCGACGATAGGGTGTTTTACTTTATTTTCAATTGATATATAGCGTGCAATATTTCATTTTTCTCACCCTACCAATAGTCATTGGATACAAACTAAATTGACACAAAAATATAATGATGACCAATGAGGGTAAATTGGAACACTACATATGATACATCCTTATGTATGAATCGTACAAAATAAATATAGCTATCCAAGTATTTCGAAACATTATTATTGATACTAAATTATGGAATATGAGATTTGCAACGAACTCCCTGGACGAGCTGTACAAAACCAACTATGCAATGAGACCTATATGTATTGAACAAACATTCTGACTCTCAAATCAGTTAAAAGTCGTCCAAATTAGTAGACTAATTCCAAATATTAATCACTTACCTATCAACCTTGTAGAGTCTGTCACACAGTTGTAACCGGTTCTAATCCATAACTCGATTTATATGCTCGGGGAAGCATTCGTGTGGCATACGCATCTCATAGTTTTACCCACCGACGATTCTTATAAATATTTTTGCAAAATAAATATTTTTGTCTCTAATATTTATAATTTGATATATCTAATATCTTTCGTATAACTACTGCTACCTAGAGTTTTGAAAAATAAACTCGAAGTAATTGGTTAGAAGAGTCATTTCGTGTTCTTTTTTCTACCACACACGTGTCTCCTAGTTATTGATATTTTGGTTTACTGTTTGAATTAAAAAAATAAAAAATTAAAATTAAAAAATGATATCCCACGTGATGAAGTATCGCGTGGAGTTGCTTTCTCTCTCCCAGTCTCCCTTTGCTCTCTCTGCCAAGGCGCGTGAGATGAGAATATGACCTTCCCTTCACTTCCATCACTTTCCCTCCACGCGTTATCGCTTCTAGAATAATTGATAATTCAAAACAAGTTATGCTTATACTTTAATTTTTATTTCTCAACCAACAAACTAAAAAGAATGCTTGTACTTCCATTTTGATTTCAATTTTGTATCAATTTGTTCTTAAATAATACAAATTAAATATTTTTCGACTTACTAATTATTGTATGAAGTAACATTGTGTGAAGTGTTAGATAGATGTTCGAATATCCACTTCACCACTCTTAGTCGAGTAATTATGAAAAATAAAAATTTCGTAAAAATACAAACAAAACAAAATCTTTGTATATCGACGCAACATATATATAAAAATAAATGTCACGATGTAATATTTGGTTTTATTGACATGTGTGTCTAAAAACATGACATTGGTACTTGGTAGGCTTAATACATTATTTTGACGTATAACTATAAATATGATAAGGATTCATCATTTTTTTTAGTGTTTTCTTTAATTTAAATAAATGATGAACGAATTTAAATCTCCAACTAGGTGAATAGTGTCTCGATCAATTGAACTGTGTTGTTGTTGAAGGTTATAATTTTCACCCAAACTTATAATTAGAAAATGAAAAAAATTTACTTACCTCTCATCCTACTTGATTTTTTGCTACTCGTAATTAGAGGGTGTGTGGTTAAATTATAATAAAATGATAATGACAATGACACTTTTAAAAGTGCATGACCTTTTTTTTTCAAAAATATTATATGATAGAGATTAATATTAAACTTTACAACCTTTCACAGATGAACTATGTTAATATTTTGCCATGTGATTTACATTTGAAACTAAAGTGAAAGTATAATAATATAGGTTAAGATAGTAATTTGACCTAAAAAAATATCATTTTAATGTTAACAGAATTCTGCCAGTTGTTAGTAAACAAAATAGTGGAATTAACTGCACAATATTATATATTTTGTTAGTCCTATTTATCTTTCTTATTTTGTTATTTTATTTTATCCGTGGTTGACCAACAACTTTAGAATTTCCAACTAATAAATAAATGATATTTTGACGTTCATCTTCCACAAGCCAAAATTATTTAATTTCGCTTTATTAGGTTTTTTATTTTGAAGATTAATAAGATGAGGAGGCTAATATTTTTCTGTATGACTGTTTAATTACACTTCACATTATAATTAGACGTGTGATTAGCTTATCGACAGGTCATAAGGAGCTCCGACTTTTTAATTAGTTGGTCAATTCATCTAACAACTTGAAAACATATATATATAGTATGGGTGTAATGAGAATTCCTTTTGATAAGAAATCTGTTTTTTTATTTTCTTCCAAGGATAAGTGATGAGAATTTTATGTATAAAAAATAATTAAATTGAGATAATTATTATCGTCACGATAGAATAACAAGTCGGGATAATTATTATTGTTATTTCTAAACTGAGATAGTTTTTGTTGGTCATCCTATATAAAAGAAATTAAAATGTCGTTTTAGCAATTAAAGTGTTAAGTATGGATTAAAACGAAAATCTAATTGTTTGATAACTCGAACATAACTTAACGGGCCAATGTATCTTGGATTAAACTACAACCAGAAGATTGTGAGTTTGAATATGCCACCCTACATGTGTACTAAAAAAAATAACATTTATTGAATTATAGATAAACTTTGACAATTTATCTGCAACATCAAATTCATGGATTTACTATGTCAAAATCAAGCCAACCGTGTTAGAAAAAAACGTTGAAGTTTGGGATTCAAACCTCTGTACCATAATTTATTGCATATAAAAAAAATAATATAATATTTTTCTATTGTAAATGTCTCTTAAATACGTTAAAAAATAAAATAAA